ACAAATAAGGTTACAATTAAAATTGAAATCTAATCCTTTTATACCCAAATCAAAATCTAATTCTTAAATCTAATTTAAATTAAAACCAAAAAATTATCCAAAAAAATTATTCCTATCTAATTCAAAAAAAATGACAAAATGTAATTTAAATTCATGTACCCTAAACTTAGCTCTTTCCATAATTCTTGATTTTGGACCATAAGCTACATTAGTTGTTTACATAGATTCTTAGTTATTTACCAGTTGAATTATATAGTTACATATTATTTCGTTAGATTTGTGCTAATTGTTGATATTATTTTTTAGGAAAAATTTAAATTAAAAATTTTCATGCAGAACAATTTAGATTGCTGACCTTTGTTTTTTTTAAAGATAATGTCAAAGCAGTTTATATTTTTTATCCTTCCCTTTTAATTTTTATTAGTAATGTAAAGTATAGTCCTAGGATTAGATTGAGGCATTTAAAAAATACTAACTAAAATATTTTTAAGAGTAAAATTCGATATCTTATTATTTTGACTTTGCATGAGGAAACTAATATTATGCTGGAAAATATAGCTAGTGATATTAAAAATCTTGCTAAGGATGTGCCTGGAGTATTAAAAGAAAAAGCTTCTAATAATAAAAATAATCGGTGGAATGAAAATGTGTAAGAAAAGATAAAAAATAAGAAACTTTATTATAAAATTAGTTTTAGGTTTCACAGCTCAATAAATTGGGAAATGTATCAAGAGGCTTGTAATGAATCTAAGAAAGCCATATGAGATGCAAAAAATTTAGCTTTTAGTGATTTATATAATAGATTAGATACGAATGATAGATTAGATATGAAGGATAGATTAGATACTATGATGCACCGACACATCTCCTCAAAGAGGCCTGCAGTGCCTGACACTATCCGATTCGACACGCGTCCGACACTCCTTCGACACGTGTTAGACACACCGAAAACGTGTCCAATTAAAAAAGTATTAAATACAAATTGGAAACGCGTATCCTACATGCGTATCTTAAATACTTTTATGAATTTTTTAAAATATAATTTCATGTATTTAAAATTTTTACTTATTTAAAATATAAAAATTAAACTTTTTATTTCTTATCCACAATACCAAATCAATCACCCTCTCAATATCGACGATAAACACCCTCTTAATATTTATGCCCAATATTTATTGCATAACATCAATTCTGGACTCTTAACATCTCTCTCGATGACTGATAAACTGCATAGACGCCCGACTCTCGATATCATAATATTAATCATTTTAAGCATAAATTTTTGTTAAATGATTTATTATTTGTATTTTTTTAAGTTTTTACTTATTCAAATTTTTTACACTATTTTTAAAATATAAAAACTATAATGCCGTGTCCAACCCGTGTCTGTGTCTTATATTTTCAATAATTGGTGTGTCCCGTGTCTGTATCGTGTCGCGTCTGTGTCTGTACATCATAGATTAGATACAAAGGACGACAAAATATATTTGTAGAAATTAGCCAATCAAAGAGATATGATATGTAAGAATTTTGTTCAAGTGAAATGGATTGAGGATGAAGATCAAAAAGTACTTTTAAGTGAGGGTTTAGGTTACCGGCATCTACCCCTTCAACAAACCCGTCAAAGCTAGAAGCAAAGGGACGAAGGTACAAAAAACCACCTGACAAGTCAATAAAGACAAATCAGGTAATCCTCCATCAATGTCCGCAGCACAAATCACAGGGCAAAACAAATCAGCATCTCAACCATCTATTGATACATCCAAGAGATCTATGAAAAATGAAAACCTTAGTGTGACATCTAAGCAAAATTTTGGAGATCTACTAAATGAAAACTGTAGTGTGACATCCAAATAAACTTTTGGAGATCCACTAAGTGAAATCCCTAGTGTGACATCTAGAGCAAATATATAGAAATCCATAGAGTCAAACAGCTTACAACAAATCTGATTCGCTCTATACGCAAATCACATTTGTTGGGGGGCATTTATTGACCTCAACAACATAATACTAAAAAAAGAAGAGATCAAATCAAATACAAAGTGTATACCTTCTGAAATACCTCCGTAAATCCCATTCAAATCTCCGAATATTTGGCTGAAATTCCTACGGAACGGCGCCGAACGACTATTCCCACGATCCCACGATTCCTGCTGAAATCTCGCTCTCGATCGCTGCCCCATTCTCGTCGTTAAATATCGACTCAAAGAGAGCCCTCGGTTGCTCTTCCACACACGAAC